TTGAACGATGTTTTTTATTATTATGTAAATTAACAAAAATGTAAATAGTCATAGATAAGAAAAAGTATATTATTATTCGATTTAAAATAAAGTTGGATAAAAATAAGTTATTATCTGAAAAGACATTAAAAAGTACTTTTCATTTTTATTTATAAAGCTTCTTTATTTTTGTTTTTAGTTGATACGTGATTTTATTTATTTATTAAATGACAAAGTAATTGCATTAAATCATGTGTACACCAAAAGTTTTACTATTTCTCACACTAAATTAATAAAAATGGCACCTTATTAAGAAAAAGTAAGACGGATAACATGACCATTGGTTTAATGAGTTCATATGGTATTAAGAGTATTTGCTTTGCTTTACATGGACAGTTGCCCAAACCTAGCCTAAACTCTAAAACAGCATTTACATCTATTCTATTTTTATATATTAATTGTCCACTTGTGTATTTTAGTTTTTCCGTTATAAGCATGCTCTAAATTAATACAACTCTCTCTCTCATTTAGCTCTACTTGCTTTGTATAAAAATTCATGGTGAGAGTCGTCCAAAACTTATTCAAATGGTTAGTTCATAAAATCGATAATGATTTAGGAGGGTAATAAGGTTTCCAGCTTGTCCGTATTAGGTCACTAAGATTTTTTTTGTGCGTATTAAACCAATATGGTTGTTATTACCGTTTAGAAATGGTCCTTTTACCGGTTTTAATGGATAAAAATGACTATTTCTAAATGGTAATAACAACCATATTAGTCTAATACGCACAAAAAAATCTTAGTGACCTAATACGGACAAACTGGAAACCTTATTACCCTCCTAAGTCATTAACTCTAATTATTTAGAAAACATGCTTACTAATCAATGTGACTGATTTGTTTGATTGAAAATAGTTACTTCCATTTAAACTTATTTCACAACCCTTGCAGAACTTCTAAGTCCAAAAACTCATATGATTGATGATCTTCATTACATAAATATGCAACATTTTATCAATAACTTCTTTTTTGTCATTTAAATGTTTACATGAACACATCCATATGTACAAAAACAAAATCTCACTTTGATACCTCTCATCAATGTCTACATTTGATAACGAATGGAAATGTAAAACCAACAGGGACTTGTATAGGATGTCTATTATCAATTATTTTATAAAAGCAAAACCACAACATAAACTAAGAAACTGAAGTTGCAAAATGAATAAAAGAATCGGCACATAAACAAATACATACATACTATATACAACAAATGCACGGAAGTTTATAAAGCATGAAACTTAATGACATGAAAAGTAAAAAACTTAAAGGAGACTTTATAGAAAGAAAGATCACTCTTACTTGTCACAAATGGTTGAAGACATCAACAAGAAGATCAATCTGACCATAGAATCCACATGTTGTCTCGATTTGTGTGTGTCATCATTGCGCATGGGCCATGCTAATCTTCTCTGTATCGTTCCAATTTTATCGGATGTCCCCAAAGGGACGACTATAGATGAAGAGCTTCGTCATATAGAGGAGTAGCGGGTTATATGGGACGACGCGAGTTCTAAACAAAGCAGTTTACTATTGATGCTCATATATTTTCAATGTCTTTAAAATTAGGGTTAATGACTTAGGAGGGTAATAAGGTTTCCAGTTTGTCCGTATTAGATCACTAAGGTTTTTTTTGCGTATTAGACCAATATGGTTGTTATTACCGTTTAGAAATAGTCATTTTTACCCGTTAGAACTGGTCAAATGACTATTTCTAAACGGTAATAACAACCATATTGATCTAATACGCACAAAAAAACCTTAGTGATCTAAGACGAACAAACTGAAAACCTTATTAACTCCTAAGTCATTATCCCCTTATTAAAAGGAACTATTACTTTAATATTATATAAGTTTTTTATAAGTTTACATAATGAACTAATTATTTGTCAAAGTCATAAAAAGAAATCGATGGTGGATCAATCCTCCCTATCTTGACATGTACAAATTCGTTGTATACTGTTATTCTGTTAAATGGTATAAACGATTATTATCAAAACAACGTTGGAGTGAAAAGTATACAAATAATTAAATCACGGGACAAATGGCAATCTCACTCAAAGGTGGTTTGGCGGTGGACTTTGAGTAATTTTGACTCTGTCCATTTAAAAGTCAAACTCTAACCTCTATAATGCACCAATCGTGGATCTTTAATGCATTTTTAATTCTCCACAATAATATATAATATTTTATTTTTAAATGTTATAACTTATAACTTACACAAAAATTGAGAATTGATCCCTACAATTTTTATAAAATAATTCTATAAAATATCGAAAATATCATGCCACCAACCACTATCTTGATATTTCAAAAGAGTGTATAGTTGGCTATTTTAACAAAAACACTTTCGGCCTATAAGAAGTTGACGAATAGTTGTCTCTCAACCAAATAGAAAAGGTAGTAATTTTGTTGTGGACAAAAGATGCGCATGTATAAGCAATTCTAAAAAAAAAAAAAAAAAAAAAAAAAAAAAAAAAAAAAAAAAGTTCAATTACTAAATTTGAAAATTTTTCATGCACATTACTATGTTTACATATTAACGAATTTGTTGGGATATTTTTTATTGTGTCAATTGTAATGTATGCTAGAATAGTCCACTTTGTAATGGGTTAGGCCTGTCCACTCGATTTTAATGATTCTAGTGTTAGATTATTTAAAGTGCATGCATGTACCGTATTAGAGAATCGATTGTATTTGTCCTACTTTGCCTTTACAGAGAAGTTCTCATCGAGTTCTTCTAAGGCAATGATTTATAATTATTCAACATATTTCAATAATTGCTTTTGTTGTTTTGATTCATATTACTGTTCAGAATCTATCGATCTGTTAATTCTTATCTCAAGAATTGGTATCAGAGCAGAAGATTGTATAAACCATACGCAACTCTTCTATCGAAGTGTTATTAGGGTTTTCCACTTTTATTGGATCTATTCTTGTCATCTTCATTGTTTTCATCGATTGTCGATGTTGGATCTTGATCTTTATTTTTCCCTAAAGTTGATTTTAGATTTACATATATGATTCTTTATAGGTTTTAGTAATTGTCACACCCCCAAACCGGAACGGCGGAAACGTTCGGGGACGGATGACTTCATGTGGTAACGTAACAAATGAATACATAGTAAAGAAAGCAATACAACCATTATATATATAATTGAAAGTTTACTTTGCTTAAAAGAGTACATGTTCAAAACCAATTACAATATGATGCCAAAATATGAATTTAAACTAGTGCCACAGCGTTCCTTCTTCAAAAGTTGTTTACTACATGTAATTACTGAGTCCCTGGGACATACAAGTAGTTTTGAAAGAGTAGATCAACATTTAAGCTGGCGAGTTTTATAAGCATTTAATAATAGTATTTGTATGAAAATGAAATGGTTCGTTTTTGTTTGTTAGTCTCTAGAAAATCCCATATTTCCTACTGGTATAAACATAGCCTTAAATCAAGAACAATATATGTTTAAAAGTTGATGTTTTCCCATCTATGAGTAGTGGTTAGAAGTTCCAAATTTATATCACAATTGGGTTTTTCATGCATAAAGTAAATGAATTTATATACGTATAAAACCTCATTTACATCTGAAAAACCCCGTAAATCAATGTGTTTTAATACTCTAGGTGAGTTTTATAACCATGCTATTGACAAGGAATGCCTATACACAATGTTCTTCAGGCGTTGGAATGTTCTGATGTTTGTCACCCCAAATGGTATATTGTAGCTAACAGTCAGGGTGCGGGGTTGTCAATCCCGTATAGATCTATACACAAACACCATGCTCCCCCTCCAAGGGATTCTGGCATATAATACAAGACTTGAAATGTGTACTCGGGCATACGTGAAGTTTAATGTCTCACAAAACTTAGTATAAAACAGATTTACGTGTGAAAATGTTCGTTTGTTCTTGTATATGAAAGTAAATTCTTGAAATAGTATTTCCATGTATGTAAAAGTCCGTAATATTCTCGTAAAACTATACCTATTATAGTTTTCTAAAAGTGTGTTTCGTTAGTATAGTAATTCCTAGTGAAAGTGTTCACTTGTTATGAAAAGTATAATTTTTGTAGTGTTAAAACCAACACACATAAATATAGTATAAGCAGAGTGTCTGATTTACATAAATACATAAATCATTTCTTGTTTCAAAAGATAAAACGTTATCGTGGTATAATTTGCATATGAAAGTTTCCCTATAATAGTTATAAATCACATATGATTCCGTTGATAAAAAGCGTATAATGAAACTTTATATAACACACAATAATAATCGAGTGTTTTACTTGTATTCCCCCCCCCCCCCCACCCCACCCCTTTAAAAGCATGTAAAAGTACTTATAAAACGTTTAAAGTGTGAATTATAGGGGTATGAACTCACTTGGAAGATCGGAGAAGGCTGGACGAAAACCAGACAGAATTTCGACTCGAGAAAGCGGATTTTCTCGGGATTCTCGGGAGCACAAACAACCCTCGGGACTTGAGCAATGTGACCGGGACTTCGGGATAGCACGGGCACGGAAAATGAGGCAAAAACGAAAGAGCAAATGAGAGAGAATGGCCCTTTTCTTCGGAACCCTCGCATCCCTTTTATAGGGGGTGTGAACCACCTCCATACGCGGGGCGTACCCGTGCGTCACGCATGCGCGCATCCTCGACTGCTTCGGACTCCGGATGGGATGTGACATAGCTCGCATAGGGTGCGACGTGGACGATCCGAGGCCAAGGCCTTGAGTACGCTGGGCGTACTCGCGTGACTCAGCCTTCGGATAATACCGAAGTTCTCATTATATATATATATATATATATATATATGTATGTATGTATATAATATTTAATAAACTTCAAAAATTCATATCTTCTTCAAAAATTTGGATACTCTACTTGAGTCTTCCAAAACTTCGTCAAGCACTGAATACTCCTATGAGTTTGTAAAAGCTTTAATCGAGACCTTTACAAAGGAGCATGCCAAAAGTCTCGATGCCTCTACTAAAGATGTGGAATATTCCGATAAGACTCTTCGTGAGGTGACCACAAAATTCGAAAAACTAGTGAATGATGTTACTGAGTTTATGGTGGATTTTCGATGATCCTCAGACAAAAATACTGAAGCTGCAAATAAGGTCATTACGAGTATAGGCTCGACTCTTCAAACATAAAATTATGCTCTTTCGAAGGTCCGCACTGAAATTCAGGCTGATAATGATGAGTTGCAATCTTTCATTGCTTCTCGGCTTGCTAAGCTTCAAGATGACCTTGTTATTGAGAATTCTCTTCTGGATAAACTTGAGGTGAAAACTAAGAAGATCAAAGTTCTTTCTGTTCAACTTTCGCTTGCACAACAGCAAAACGATGAGCTTAAGTCTAAAAAGGTTGTAATAAAAAGTTGCGTTGGAGAAATTAATCAATTCTTGTGAAATCTCATCGAGACTCATGATTCTCTACTCACGGTCTTAATTCACCAACATCTGATTGATAAGCTTAAAACCTGTCTTCTCAATGCTTAATCGTCTAAAAGGTGTTTCAGAGTCTAGCTCGCTTTCGAAACAAGGGGAGAAGTCAAGAAACTAGTTTATGATTTTGGTGAACAAGAACAGAAACCGACTCCAAACGATTTGAAGGGTAATGAAGCTTCAGGGTCGAAAGGGAAAGGAAAGTTGATCGATGATGAAGAGGATGAAGGTGAAAAGCTCAAACGAAAGTCTCACGATAAAGATCTTGATGAATACCTACGAATTACGAGAGAAGTTGATGCTCGTGATGCACAGGTAACATTGGAAACTCAAAAGATTCTTTTCCCTCACTGGACTGTGGGCGGATTATGAACGAAGCTATCGACAATCTAAGTACCTACTGGTTGGAGCCAGTTACTGATGGGTTTTAGTCATAAGACATCCTATGTGCTCATACAAACCCTAATGCTTGGATCTAGGTTTCTCTATTGTACATGCTTTGAATCCAAGACTATAAACCCTAATTCTAGTATTCAAATAATCATATTAACATAAGAATGAGTTTATAATGTTACCTTGATTGTTATGTAGCAATAACAATCCCAAATCTCCTTGTATTGACTTTGGAAGGCTTAGAGTCACAAGTGTCACTCCTCTAATGGCTCACAAACACCATAAGCAAGTGGAGAAGGTATAAGGAGAGAGGTGAGAGGTTAGAATTCGTATCTAGGACCTCTCGGGAAGGGATTCACGAATTCATGGCCCTAGGGGTGTTTATATAGGTGTAGAGATAGGGTTTCAGTCATTATCCTTATCTAGTTGATTATCCATTAAGCAACCAATAAGATAATCCTTGAATCCTTATCATACTCGAATTCTAAGGGATTTACACCTCAAATTCGTTCACCATATATATAAGATAATCCTTACCTTATTTTGTAACTATCACATAATTACAATTCAGCCCCTCTAGTTTAATTAATTACATTTGATCACAAAACTAATTCTTAATTAATTATTGACCAATATTAATTAAACAAATATGATTTCTCCTTTAATATATTATTCTTATAACATATTAATAAATCATATTATCCTCTCTCTCTTTATTCATTTCTCCAATCAAGTTGCTTTGGTGAAGGCAACCCAAAAGGACCATGCACCATCGGGTCAAGTACATACCAAAATAGTTATGGACTTAGACACTAATCCAACAGTTACTTCGTTTGATTTGGAGAACATTTGGGATTCGCATCTTGATCTACCATTTACTCCAAAGGCGTTCCTATTTCGTTGTTTTGAAAAAATTGAGAAAGCACCCACTACAGACTGCGACATCAATCATTCACTTTTCTCTTTCTACCTCAAGCACGGGAAGCCTTAGTATCAAACCTAGAGCTCAAAGAAAATTATAGTTGTGAAAATCACTGGACTAGTTCAAACGGAGAGCTTTATCAATTCTAAATTCAAATTTGTCCGTGGTGCAAAAAGTTCAGTTTTTGAGTTTACACTCGTAGACTTGTCGTGCCTTAACCCATATGACTGGATTTCCTTGTTCCATCTCTTATTAAAGGATGAACAGAAATTCGAACCCCTCGTGGCACATCTAAAAAGGATGTTAATCTCCTGCATCCAAGAGTTTAGTAAGATGGATGTAGAGATTGTTGTAGTACTTCGAAAGAAACCCTGCGTGGAACCAAAAGAAACTACGAATAATGTCACGAAGATGAAGCTTGGAAAAATCCTCAGGGACAATTGGAGTGTGGACTTTCAGCAAAGCAATAGAGATGGAACGAATGTTCAGAAGCGCTTATTCTTGTTACCTGACAAGCATCTTTATTCCACTTCATGTCTGAACTATATCGTGGGTGTCACAGAATAATGCAAGGCGAACAAAGTTGCTGATAAGAAATGCTTCGCAAACATGATTAAGTGATACATCACTATTCACAATACCTTGTTCGGATTAATGCCAAAACTTTTCAAGGTTCAGAAGCATCAACAGAGCTGAAGAATTTCCTTCATTATTGACACAATGGGGGGGATTGTTGGGATATTTTGTGTTGTGTCAATTGTAATGTATGCTAAAATAGCCCATTTTGTAATGGGTTGGGCCTGTCCACCTGGTTTTTAATAATTATAGGGTTAAACTATTTAAAGTGCATTCATGCACTGTATTAGGGAATCAATTGTATTTGCCCTACTTTGCCTTTACAGAGAAGTTCTCATCGCGCTCTTCTAAGGCATTGATTTATAATCATTCAGCACAATTCCGATCATTGCTTTTGTTGTTTTGATTCATATTACTATTCAGAATCTATCGATCTGTTAATTTTTATCTCAACATAATTTGTAGTTTTTCTCGACGTAACCGATTATTTTTATTCTTGTGAATATAATCAAAATTTTCATGTTTTATTTTCGAAATTTTGCAAATTCGCGAGCTTTGTGAGTTTTCAAATATTGTTGAGTTTTTTGTTAGAAAAAGTTATCTCCTCAAGATTTACACATTATTTACCAAGTCCATATGGTTATTTTGAGATAAAACGATAAAAATACGATTATGTTCTTATATGCTAAGCTTCCAAATATGGTTGATAATAGTACAATTATTTTTATTAGAAAAAGTTATCTCCCGAAATTTACACATTATTTACAGAGTCCATAGTTATTTGAGATAAATCGATAAAAATACACTTATGTTGTTATATGTTAAGCTTTCAAATATGGTTGATAAGAGTATGATTTTTATTCTTACAATCTCAAGTTTGACTCATGATTGGACTCAAACTCAGTAAATTTGATTCACATAAACTAAGACTTGATATAATATTACATTGTTTACAACTGATTGATCACCATATAATAGAATAATAAGACAAAAGTTCTTCGTATATACTAATCTAATCATTTCAATTCTTATTGCAGTAAAGAAAATCCCATGTGGCTGTGATATGGGTCAATTTTACATTAAAAAACAATAATGGTGCTAAGGCTGGGGAGAGTGTCTCCCAACCTAATTGCTAACGGAGCCACTTGATAAAAATGACTAAAGATATGGTACGGGTCAAAATGAAGTGGGTGAACAATGTGACTCCTATCGACATATGCTTCAACACAATTTTAAAGTATAAATAAATAATATTATTAAATATGATCGGTTAAACTATGGATGATATATGTCCTGGAATCGATCCGAACCAAATCGTGAATCAAAAACCGAACCCAAAATACCAATTCATTTCCGGTTTTCTGTTCCAAAACCACAAAGAACCGAACTTGTAAAGTACTTTTTCATTTTTCGCATTTTGAGGTAGCATTTTCTCATTATCTAGCAATTTATTTAACGATTACAAAGAAATATAAAATAACTTACTTTTCTATACAAAAATATATATACAGCCTTAAATAGAGCTCTGTAACGCAATAATTTCTTAACCAAATCATCTGTTTTTTTAGCTGAAATTATAGCCAAAATAAAGGGCTACAACCTATGGAAAAAATCAGCTTATTCCAAGTTTCTATGAGTGAGGTATGGTCGTTCAAAGTTTGGCAAAAATTATAAACAATCCTAAGAAAAAGCTGACAGTCTAAGTCTATCTCCAACTCATCTTTATTTTTTCTTTATAAATTGAGTAAAAAATAAAGTAAATAGTATTTCATCTCCACCCTACTTCATTTTCTACCCTATTTTTTATTTCAAAAAATATATTCCTAGAATATTCCATTTTTACAACTTATATATATATTATCAAATACACCCCTCTACTAATTAGATTTTAACAGATATATATTATATTTTTTCATTACAAACATATTTCAAATTATATTATAATAAATAAAATGTTTATAAATAATAAATTAATTATTACTTTATTATAAATAATTATTAAATAAATAAGATTACATTCATAATAAATATATTAAGATTACGATCATATTTGTTTACTATATTTTATAAATTATATTATTGTGTTTCAAGTTTTTAATATATATTTAATTTTTTATATGAATTCAGTAAATAAATATTAAATTCTATATTTATGATTAATTAATATAAATTAGTTTATAACATGATATTATAAATATTAAATATTGTATTTAAACTATAATTAATAGATAAAATAAACTAAAAATGTATAAAATAAAAATGAGAGAAATTAAAATTAATAACCAAATTTCACCTCCATTTTTAGATATATGAACAGTATTCCATTCCTCCATATATGGGAACATACTATTCATATCTCCAAAAATCAAAAATAAAGGTGGAAATAAAATAAGGTTGGAAAAGAATATGTGAAGAAATAAAAGAAAAAACAGAGTTTCGGGATGGGTTGAAGATATCCTAACAATCCTTTTTTAGAGTTATGTAACCCACCCATTTCCCTAACAAATTCCGTTCAAAGTTAGACAAAAAAAATTTTAAAAAAAAATGCTGAGGAAAAAAAACACAAAAATAAAAAATAGTTCCAAAACAGAGAGAGAGAGAGAGAGAACCAGAGAACCAACAACCAAAAACAGGGAATTAATTGAACCAAAAACTGAACTGAATAACTAGTTCGTTCCGATTCCGGTTCATTTTTTCGGTTTTTTTCTTCTCCCTAGGTTAAAACTATATAATAATAATAATACAAAAAAAAATCAAAATCTCTAAAAATCCATTAGGCTTTTTCCCATATTTGGGCCAAAAAAATACATTTCACCGAACGAAAAAATCCCTAAATGGGCTAGAAATCAGCAAGTGTGTTGCATAATTGAATAAACAGATTGCTAAATGTTGTCCAAGTAGTTCTCATATCTAATGCATATTTTACTAATCTTCTTCGACTTCACATCATTTTGGGGTGAAATCATCTAAAAAAAACTTTAAAAGATTACATATTTTACACCATTTAAATTATGGATAAGATCAACACAAGACAATCCAAAACGATCGCTTCACTAACAGAATAGAACGTAGTTATACATTAATTTAGCTCCCATAAACACACATCCCATTCAATCTTTACCCTATAATTACTATTCCTAAAAACCTAGCATTAGCAATAATATACCATTTTCCTAACTTAACTTATGTTATGTAGCTGCTTGTGAAAAAGTGATGCGAAATCCCCAAACTGAATATCATTAGGTGGAGGACACAAATCGAATGCATACACAACTGCCTTTGATGTCAACATTGGCTTTTTAGTAGTCACACCATCACAAAGCTTTCCAAAGCTGTATTCATCAAACCCAAACGATTCTCTAAGGTAAAAAAAACTCTCCCTCCCAACATTTTCAACCTACAACAAATACATAAAACAGTTTTTCATTTTATGTTTTAGAGTAAATTACACGAATAGTCCTTATGGTTTGGGGTAGTTTGC